GTCCTCCAGTGGAGTTTGGATAGCACCCTTTTTCAGACAACACAAAACACAATTCATAAGGCATACTGTGATATTCTGGATTAGGCTCTTTGAAAAGATCAGGACAGAAGGACGTGGATAGGTGCCTTTATTGAACAGCAGGACATCACACACTAACTTGTTGTTTCTTAGCGTGCCGAAACTACCCTTTTTCGTTGTTATATATTGGTCAACCAAGAACTAGCCCTGTAACAGGCACTTCTGTATTTTACCACTGGGGGGCAACAATCCACTCTATTACACATACAGGATCACATGAGCACTATTACATATGACTGATTACAAAATGTAAATTAACATCAAGTCCTTACATGTGGTGAAGGTCAGGTTTTTCAGTGTTAAAGACTCAGTGATGGTTTGGTTTAGGGAGACATTTCTCACAATGTGTCTGAGTACATCACTGAAATTTGGGGCCACACTGGATGCTGGGATGTGTAATTCAAGGACTACATCAAAGTCTATTGGTGCTGTGAAGGAGAAAAAGGGGGAAATCCATCACATATACATAACACAATGATAGGAGATGATATTTACAAGAAAATGCTGACAAAAGCTGTCACTTTTATGCCCCCTGTTTATTACATAGACACAATTTTGATGATGCATCTGCTCCCCACTTCCACACTGTTCTAATCTGGCACTGTCAAACCTTATTTACTACCACTTAAACTGAAAGTTGAAATACAGCTAATTGAGTCACAAGTCACATGTGATTCTAGATCATTTAAGGAGCTGTATTGTTGAAACAAAAGTGATTTTTTTTTTTTAGACTTAATAGTGCAAGTCGTAATCTGGAGCTCACACAAAGACCTTCATTCTTCACTATACATTTCCAACGTCTTACTGTATGTTGGTGTAGGTGATGTTGTTGATGGTGTTGTGACTATGGAAACAGGAAACGAAGCAACAGTTTAGATTTCAGCATACATTTCTATTCAAATTATGTTTTTCAAATGCAACCATAATATGTAATTTACATCATCCTTGCAAAATTACATATTATGTCTTTAATATCAAGTATTTGCTTTAAAGAGATGAAGCAAACACTTCAATTGCTTTGGTTATTAGGGATGGGTATCGTTTAGGTTTTATCCGATACCGGTGCCAAATCGGTACTTTTGAAACGGTGCTGGTGCTTAAACGGTGCTTAAAGAATGGAGAACACAAAATTGGTCCAAAAACCTCTCATGTTCAGCTGTTTTTTTTGTAAAAAGATAACAACGTTAGCCTTTTCTGCAGCTATGGGGCATACATGGTATCACTCTTGGCTGGAAGCAGTGCTTAAACAATGGAAAA